ACACACAGGTTCAGTGGATGTGGTCAAAGACAAAGTGACTGGAGCTTTGAATCCCATGAGTGGTGCTGTGAGTGTTCAAAGAGTGGAGACAACTGATCAACAAAGGTATGCATTGCAGAAGTCCAAAGAAACCTGCCAAACTTTGCCCCAGGCACAATATGGGGCAGTGGCACAAATGCAATAGTGTGCTGTCTCAGTAGGAATAGTTCCTGTGATCTTCCATCAAATCTGTATTTGTACCTCTGGACAACCACAGAGCGGGCAGATATTTCTCTTCATTCAGATGTCTCTAGACCTGTGGGCAAATACCCTGGATAATAATTGACCAAGGGGAATGCAATACATTTATTCTCTTATCAGACTCATTCACAGAGTCAAACAGAAGATTTAGGAGGCAAGCTTACTCTTATCACCTTGTACTTGCCCATTAGACTGTGCTCTTCAGATTGTCATCTCTCTCTCTCTCTCTCTCTCTCTCTCTCTCTCTCTCCAGCAGTTTATTGGTAAAAAAACCAAAAAAACAATATTAAGACAAGTCAAGTCAAGTGTCATGTTAGAAATATTTAGCTTTTAAATAGCCTACGGTTAAAGTATATCATATTCCTCACATATCCTAGAAAATATTTGTATTAAACAATCAAGATCAGGTAGTAGTTAACATGTTTAATTTCTTATTCTAATCATCCCATTCACCATCATTCTCCAAGTCAGATTCTTCGGTATCTGAAAGATGTATTGCCATGTGTCACTTCTGAACAACATCCTTAACAGCAGCAACTATTTCTTCATCAATGGGAGGTGTTGGATTCTGAGCCCCTGGTTTCAATTGTTTCCCTTTTCTGAACCAACTCATTAGAACATCTTCGGTGAAAGGAGTTAATTGATTGTCACTCTCTGACCTTTTCAACTGCACATCCTTCAGATTTTGGATTAAATTGTGTTGAGATTCCCTTTTGGAAGGAGAGATGCAAAGTGCTGGGAATGTGACAGCTGAAGGGAGATCAACATTATGGGACAACTTGCTTGATTTTTATATGGAGGAAGGCACTGCTAGTACATCTTAAATCCACCCTTCATTCCTAGACTATGGGAGTCTAGTTTATTGTTTGGGCTGCAAGTTGAACCCAGCTCTGTGGGCATCACAGAATAAAGCAGAGGATGGCCAAGGGATTTTTTCAATAAACCTTTTGCCTTTGTCACTTTCAATACTGCTTCTGCGCCCCCACATTTCTCAATTACTTCAAAAATATTCTTTAATTTTCTCCTGTCCTTCAGATGCCATCCTTAGCAAAGATCTTAGCAAAGATCTTCAGGATCTAAGCTGGTAGCAAAGCCAGTTTGGGACCTCATCCAATGTGACAGATATGTTTGAAGTTTCTGGGGTTCCCAATATATTCTTTGCTTAGTTTATGTCTTCTGGATTTTTGTTTCCAGTTTCTTATCTCAAGCGATGCTTGAGAAGCACAACATGAAGGAGATGAGACCCTACAGTTTGGTGATCTTGTACTTGGATGAGGATAAGATAATGGACAAGATGCCTCAGCGGCAGGAGCAATAATAACAACACTTCTAAACAATGTCATTTTCTCACAACTCAGACTGCATTCTGTCCCACAACTTTTTAAGGTTGTCAACTCAGTAACCATTATTGTCCCTTGATTACTATGATATGCCCTCCCAAGACCAAGACCTCAGCTGGGGCTACTGTATCTGAACATCAACAACTTTGCTTGTCTTCTCTTTAATAATACCTGATCTTTTAAAAGTCTTGAATTGAAAAACACCAAGCAGTCTCCTGGACCTTTAAACGATTTTGTACTCTTAGATCTTATTCGGAATTCTTTGTCTTTATCCATCCGCAATGCATGTTGTTGTACGCCCAGCCAGATTGCTAATTCTTGAGTCACCTTTTGGTCAATCCTTTCTTCTTGTGCCTCTGGGAGACCTTTGAAGCGTAAAACCATCTCTCTCTGGTGCATCTCCAGCAGAGCTATCTGGTCCAAAGTAGTTTCATGTAATGTCACTAGATCCTTTATTTCTTCATTAGTTGTTTCTTGATTTTTCCTCGGCTCTTTATTTTCATTCACTAATTTCTTAGAAGTGTCTTCCTGCTTGTTGATTCTGCTCTTGAGGTCCTGGACTGATTTATATGTGTGTTTATGTTTGATTGTTAGATCTTTTATTTGTTCAGAAAGTTCTTTTATTAATTTAGCATTCTGCTCATTTTTGCTATCCATTGACATTTAAGTTTAAGTTTTTGTCCGTTTTTGCTATCATCTCTTTTATATCAAGCTTAAATATTTGAATCCTCTGGGTTTATATTCCCTCTTTCCTTTCCATGTTGCTTTTACCATTTTAATGCTAATAGTTGTGTGAGTTACTTTCTCATCCCCCTGTCCTAGCCCCCTGATATTTTCTTAGTTAGTCTTATATCTATTCTGCTTGAGTTTAAGGGTGTTCCCAGGTTCAGAGTGTTCCCCAGGGTGCCATTGGCAAAAGGATGCTCCCTGATTGTCAGGGAACTGCCATCAGTGCCGGAGGGAGAGAGAGAGCTCCAAAGGGATCCCAGAGAGCGTCCCGGGAGTGGGAGAGGCAGCCCATCTTCTGGGGAAGGGAATCAGCGTAGCTCCAGTGGAGAAGGGGGGCAGATGGGGGAATCGGCGAGGCGGTCCCATGACTCCTTGCCGGGGACCAGCGGGGAGAGGAAGGGTCCTCCGCTGCCTACGCCCTCCTTGCGCAGAAGGCTTCTGCGCAGGGAGAGTAGGAGGAGACTGGGCGTCAAAGAGCTTCTTTGCTGGAAGAAGTTTAAGAAACGCCCACTGACGGATTCTGCCAGCGATTGAGGCAGCCACAGGTGAGTGGCTGTCCGGACAGGAAAGGTTCACTCAGGCAACCCAGCCAGGTGTGGGCACAGGCTTACGCACGAGCAACCCCTAGAACCATTACACTGATAACGTAAAAGGAGGTACCATCTCTGAACTAGACTGCCCATCTTAATACAGGGGGTTGCTTGGCAGGGGGTTGGACTCGATGGCCCTTGTGGTCTCTTCCAACTCTATGATTCTATGATTCTATAATGCAACCTTCAGGAATGGTAGACAGTTACTCAGCTGCTCCTTTTCCTTCATTCTCGTGCATCCACTATTAATCCATATGGCACTGGAGTTTATTTCACAGTAGATCAAGGGAAGTAATAGTGCCACTGTATTCTGCTCTGGTCAGACCTCACCTGGAGTACTGTGTCCAGTTCTGGGCACCACAATTCAAGAAGGACACTGACAAACTGGAACGTGTCCAGAGGAGGGCAACCAAAATGATCAAAGGCCTGGAAACGATGCCTTATGAGGAACGGCTAAGGGAGCTGGGCATGTTTAGCCTGGAGAAGAGGAGGTTAAGGGGTGATATGATAGCCATGTTCAAATATATAAAGGGATGTCACATAGAGGAGGGAGAAAGGTTGTTTTCTGCTGCTCCAGAGAAGCGGACACGGAGCAATGGATCCAAACTACAAGAAAGAAGATTCCACCTAAACATTAGGAAGAACTTCCTGACAGTAAGAGCTGTTCGACAGTGGAATTTGCTGCCAAGGAGTGTGGTGGAGTCTCCTTCTTTGGAGGTCTTTAAGCAGAGGCTTGACAACCATATGTCAGGAGTGCTCTGATGGTGTTTCCTGCTTGGCAGGGGGTTGGACTCGATGGCCCTTGTGGTCTCTTCCAACTCTATGATTCTATGATTCTATGATTCTATGACTTTCTCCATGCACAAGTGCATGTGATGGTAACTCATTCCCACAGGAGGCAGAGATGAGCACCAGCTTGGATGGCTTCAAAGAAGATTAAACAAATTCATGGAGGAGAGGGCTATTGAAAGCTACTGGCCTGGATGACTTTGCCTCTGCAGTTGGAGGCAGCAGTGCTTCTGAATACCAGTTGCTAGAAGCCACAGGAGGGAAGAGGCTCTTGTGCTTCTATCCTGCTTGGTTTTGGTTAGCCATTGTGAGAACAGGGGGTGCTGGACTAGATGGGCCATTGGCCCAATCCAGCAGGCTCTTTATGTTCTTATTGCATTCAGAGTGATCAGCTTAAGAGAAGTGCTTTGGAAGGACTGTGTGCCTTTTCAGCCTTGCAAACAAGGTGGCTGTGGGGGCTTTTGAATATCAAAGCTGTTACTGTAGTATTTGTGGATGTCCTTTTATAAAAGGAGGACAAGAGCAAAAGGCTATACTCTAGTTATTGAATTTAGTTTGGCGATATAGTTGCTGCTAGATGAATGGAACTCTGAGATAGATTCTGTTGAACAATCCTATGAATTAAGATCAGCTTGACAGCAGAATAAATTTTGTAGCAGCTTTGGTCATCTTTGGATTGGTCCCTTAGTTGAAGCCACCTAGAATGTTGTTTTTCCTTCATCTAAAGAATCAGATATGGGTGATATGCTGAATGATCAAGAAAAATGTACTTTGGAAATGCTACATTTTATTGTGGTTTTTTTTTGGGGGGGGGGTTACTTGAGATTGCTCAGTTTGGCTTGAAATCCTTTATCCCCACCCCACTCCATTTCCAGTGCAAACTGGCTAGTGGTTCTAGGATTCTGTGACCTCAGCTCCAGTCCGCTATAGACATAGCACCACAAATTTTGGACAATATGACTGATTTGTAAACGGTGTATGGTGCTATGCATCAGGAACAATATGGACAATATTCAACTAATAGAAAAGAGAGGTTAGCTTTACAGTTCTTAACCCGAGGTACTATTTCTGGGTTAGCGGAGTCTGTAACTTGAAGCGTCTGTAACCTGAAGCGTTTGTAACCTGAAGCATCTGTAACCCGAGGTACCACTGTATTCCAATTGTCTCTTCCAGTTAAGTTCCAAGAGTAAGAGAGATTGTGACATTTTTTTATTTTTATTTTTTTAAACCTACTCTGCCTGCTAAAGATGAAATTAAACTTGTGAAGTAGCAATTGGCTTTCTTCCTGTAAAATGGATTTTAATCATTGCAGACCAGCAACGGAGGAGGGAGTTTAAGTGATTATTCCTCCTCTGTCCCATCTACTCCAAGCACCAGCCAGAAGGAGCTACGGATTGATGTTCCACCTACCACAAATACTCCAACTCCTGTTCGTAAACAGTCCAAGCGCCGGTCCAATCTTTTTACGGTAAGTGAACCAGGAGACAGAATGCTTGTCTGTGTTAATTCATCATTGCTCCTTGATTTACTTCTCTAGTGTTATCTATGCTGACCAACTAGGTATTTGTTTTGATTCTTTAGCAGAACAATAGAGAACCTAGCTCTTGAAGTAGGGACATGGGTAAGCTATGGATAGGGTTCAGGGGCATCTCAAAATGCTCTTTCTTCTGTAGTACAAACTATGACAAAAGTAAGGCATCAATACTGCTGTCATGCTCCTGATTCCACTCGTCTGCTTTCCCAGGCAGGAGCCGACAGGCCCTCTGCTGCACGTCCAGTAACCTTTTCCACACCATGGCACCCACCCATGGCTTGCCGCCTGAGGACTGTTCATGCAGGCACAGTTGCACTTGCTGTCCTTGTGCTCCATGGACATTTCAGGTACAGTGGGCAGGGTTATGTTAGAGAGTCTTTTCTGCTGTGGTGCCCTGAATGTGGAACTCTGTCCTAGTTGGTTTGCTTGGCTGGTTTGCCAGTATTTCTCTCTTTGCCAGAAACATTTTCTTTTTGATAAGCTTTTGATTTACTTGCTACGCTGCTGTTTGTGATTTGTTTGTTGACTCCTTTGTGGTTAACCGTCTGCTGCTTTTTGTAGGTTGGTTGTTGTTGGTTGATTATGGTTTAATGGATTTTTTAGCTCGGAAGACGCCTTGAGCCCTTCCATCGAAAATTGGCATGCAGTTTTGAATAAAGAAAATAAGTTTTGAGCTTATCTTGAATTCCTTTTTCATGCTGTGTCTATTCCTTTAAGCAGTATAGTAATAAAGTCAGAAGACTCTTAAACACCAGCAATGAACTTATTTTGTTTGCTCCTTATGGTCAGGACTGACCCAGTGGCAGGTGTTATGGGTGGGGGGCCCCTCTCTGCATCTACCCTTTGGGAACTATACATTATGTGAGGATGCAGCAGCAGACGGCCTTTTCTGCTATAGCACCCTCCCCTCATAATCTCTACAGGCACCAAGGTGGTATTATTTTTGGTGACAAATTGTATGTGCTGGTGTTTGAGTTGTGCTAATTATAGCTTGGAATGGGATCTGCCTAATAGTCTGCTGTATATTTTAGTTTAATTCTAATTTTAGAATTTCTTGTTGTAGAGTTTGTTTAATTTTATGAGTTGTTGTATATCATGGATTGGTACTGTAAACTGTCCTGTGGTCAGTCTGGACAAAAGGTGGGTTAGAAATAAAGCTAACAAATAAACAGTTGGTTTCAATGTTGATTGTGATTTTATGTTGTTACATTCACTGCTGTTTTACAGAATATGTGCCCTGACCTAAGATCAATGGATATAGGGTGGGAGATGAATATTTTTAATGAATTAATAAATACTACAATGTTAGGCTTTCTAGGAAAAGTGGAATGGACTGGAATGTGCACACATTAGCTTAATGGTGATGTGACTCTGCTGTGTTGTGAGACTGTTAGATAATGTTTTCCTCCACTAGATGTCAGTGTCAGTCAAGGAACAGAATGTAGAACGGGAGAACTTGAAATGGTCTCTAGAAAGACCATTTGGATTTGTATGCAGAAATTACAGCTGCTTCTTCTGCTCATATTTTGTTTAGGATCCTGATGTGAGGATGTGCATATTTTAATATTGAAGGCAATGGATTAAAATGGAAGGGTTAAGCACACAGAGATGTATCTAGTCTTCCCAAGAGCTCTGCTGGAAGAAGCTGGGATGGCCATTGTCTCCCATTTCCCCACTGTCACCAGAGCCCCCAGGAGGACTGGGAGATGTTGCCTGGGGAAGGGCAAACCGGGGACTATCGCCTCTGCTTTGCCATTCCTTCTGCTAGTGGGAGCCTCTTTTCATGCAGGGACATTTCTAGATCCAGCCCATTCATACGGTTTTTCACAAGGAATATACAGTACAAAGAACAAAAACTTACTTCATTGGTTCTAAATTTAATTCATAAAGCCACTACTAATAAACCTCTATCCATTGGAAGTAAAACTGGCTGGCAGAGGTAGATTCATTTACTTGTTTATTTTAAATACAGTGCTGCAGAAATAATTGGATGCTCTAATATTTTTACATACAACTACAAAATTGAAAATGGGATTTTTGTAGTTCCAAGAAGAGAAACACATCATGATTGATCAGATAATGTAAAAACTGATAATACTAACTAACTAGTTTCATTTACAGAGGGCATTCACCACATAGAAAATCCATGATAGATTATGCTGTGTTGTAAGTGCCCCATAACAAAACAACAAATATGCTAGAAATTAGATAGAAACTTACAACAAATTGATCTTTAAAAATATTGTTTCCACAAAGGATGCTGATACATTAGTGTTCATCAGAAATGATGCTGTATTTCATACTCTTTCACTTGAATTAAAGGATGGTAGCAGTGGCCATTTCTGTAATGAATAAAACTTTCTAAGACTAAAACTTCCTTTCCAGATGCTCAGATTGTTGCATGACACACTTTTGTGGACTGAAGGAGCAACTCAGTCTGAGCAGCTGCAAGGTTTATCATATTTTGTAAAATTAGTTTTGTAATACATAAGAAATCCCACATATTATTGTGGCTATATAATCAGTAGTGTGATTTCTATGAAGAAATTTAATTTGTGCGCAGCTTTTTATGATATAGGGTATTTTTTTAGGTCTATTGTTCAAAGTATGCAGATATAGGTCATTGTTGACCAAGCCACCTAATCTTAATTACCCTTGGAAGATAAATAATATTTACTGTAAGCCAAATGAGTACCCATCTCAAAGTAAGGCTTATTTGTTTAGTAAACAAAAGCGCAGGTCATTTTAATGAAAATTTCGCTTCACTGAGCAATGGATTTCTGCATCTCATTATATGCAGAATATTATATATTATATATGGTATGGTTGTGTCTTTAGATAAAACTATTATAAACAAATTGTTCTTTCCCAGATTTTTAAAAAATAAAAAGTAGCAGTAGTCCATTAAGAATGTGTTCATACCTATTTCCTGGTTTTGAATGTGAGCCATATGTAGTTGAAAACAGGGGTAGGGGAATCTACTTGCCCTCAAATATGTGAAATTACAGGATCTATTAGTAGCATAGATATTCTAAAAGTGCTAAAAGATCTTGGAATGTGGGCTAAATAAGATATATGGTGTTGGAGAAAACTAAAGCAGGTTTTTTGTGCCTGATAGGACTAATTTTATTTTTTAAATAATAAAACATATTTCTGTTAAAATATTTAAAGTGGTTCACAAGCAAAATTCCTCAGCCAAAAGTGTACAAACAGGAGCTGTTCCTAGCCAACTATTATGGATTTAGGGAAGGATATCCAGAAGGACTGAGGAAAAGCTGTGAGAAGCATGCAAATGTGGCAGAAAAAATTAGCCTGCTCTCGAACTTGAGAGAAGCGGGGACTTTGGCATGTAGTTGAGGGTGTGGTAAACTCAAGAGCTTTTACTGAGGCTGTAACTCAGCAACAGGGAGTATGAGGTTCACCACATGGTGTTGGACTCCAACTCTGATCTGTCACAGACAGAATGGTCAACACAGTAAGGGATATGGGAAGTTGCAATCCAGCAATCCTGAAGGACCACATGTTCCCCTTACCTACTCTACCTGGCTAGCCGTCCAGGTGAGTCAGGTTGGGAGAATGCAAGCTACCCCCTTTTAGGCCACCTAAATAGTATGAACTTCTATCAAAACACTGTATACTTCTCCTGTTCCCTGAACTATACATATTTTGTTTTTCACATGCACTTAATTCCATGATGGTTATTCTTTGAAATTCTGTGGTCTGAAATTTTAGTTTTCTTCATCCATTATTTAAAATACAAAAAGTAGTTGTGACTGATATCCTTATTTTAATTTGCATTCCAAATTTAAACGTTTTAGACAACTCAGTAATGCATTGTAGATAAGCAGCATGATTTCACATCACTTGGTTTTTATTAGCATTCAGTTGTGGCACTGGACATCACCAGTATGTTCACTTCATATATCATCTATGATTTGAAAAGCGCATGAAAATGTTTCCCCATTTTCAATATTGCGTGAGTAATGTTCCCACTGAAAAGTAATGGAGTGAAGTTGTCACTTGTCAGCATAGTTATTAAGGGGGATGACTTTTAGGTCTTGCTCATAATAAAATAAATCTGTCACATGTAGATTTACTTATCTCACAATAAAGGAGGAGGGTAGGAAGTTCTATTTAAATAAGATTGTGTGTATTTGTCCCACAGCTGTGTAAAAGCAAGCAAGATGATTCTTACCCCGTGAAATGCTTTAAAATAGACAGTACTTATGTTTTGTTTTTGTTCTGTTTTTAAATTAACTAAGATAAAGTAGCCGTTTGTTTTTAAAGGAAAGCTTTATTGTATCTTATCCATTGATCTTTATAGTGAGAGGTATGCAGATAAGAATGATTAGCATTTGCCACTTTTATGCTTCTCAAAGCAGCTTGGTTTTCCAAGCATTGTTGGTTTGACTTTGATGCTATCATTCGAAAGTAGTAAAAGAGGAAATTTAATGAAATTTAATTCCAATCAAGGTAATCCATAAAATTACACTGCTGAGTAGTTAATAGCCTTTTAAAATCCCATCAGATGATAATTAAGTATATACACTTGTATAAGGAGTTGCCTATGTAGAAAGGCACACAATTTCCTGTTAGCTTTTCTTGTGTCTGTATTGAATTCACAGGAGTTGCTGCTGAGCCATTTAAAAGCTTAAATATTAATATGTAGGTAATATTTTAATTATGTCTTTTGATCTATCTTCTGGTGTGTTAAAACAACTTTTTAAATTTCAAATGTGAATATGGGAAAATATGTGAATTGGTGTTATTAATAACAGTGTTAACTTTGCTTTTACCTTGCAGTCTCGGAAAGGGAGCGACCCAGACAAAGAGAAGAAAGGATTGGAGAGCAGAGCAGATAGTATTGGAAGCGGTCGTGCAATCCCAATTAAACAGGTATATTCTTTTGTGTGTGTGCGTGTGTGTGTGTATGCACACAGGCCTACGCACACACACGTTTTCCTGTAGTTGGAGACACACCTCAGGTCTTAAACACCATGATGCTGGGCCTGTGTGCCAAGATTTGTTTGATGTGCTGTGGTGATGAATGTTGAAGTCACTCACTTGACATCAATTAGGAGAGGTTCCTATGTGTATTAAAATAGGATCATTAGAATAAGAAGAGGGAAAATGTGACAACAGGCCTAATGAAGTGCAGTCTGCTGGCCTGCATATGGAGCGTGCTTCTAGGCTGAGCTGGCTTCAAAGCCTGCCTTTGTAGAGAGGGCTTTGATTGGGCCGTTTGCTGCCAGTCGACAAGGGTAAATCAGATCGCTGTACAAGAGCCCCTTGTGATCACAGAAATAGCCTGATGTGGCCCTCATTTGCTATTGCAGAAGGACATCTGAACACTGTTCCAGGCTGGTTTGCAACAACTAGGCAATTAGTTGCGATAATCATAGCTGGTGTGTCAGCTGTGCACTCTTGTTTGTAATTTGCTAATGAAGGAATTGTAACTTCATTTAGACCTTGTTATATAGGAGAACATTTACAGTCATAGTATGTGGCCTTAATTAAACTTCCTCGTTACACTACAGGATTTGAAATTGAGGATTTGTTTTGGTTTGTTTGACTAGTGCAGGTTCACTTGAGTAATGTGTGTGTGTGTGTGTGTGTGTGTGTGTGTAGAGAGAGAGAGAGCGCGAGAGCGCATATTTGTTACAAAACTTAGGACTCATAATTTTTGGCCTGTTCATCAGTTCAACATATTTATGATACTTGGGTATTCTGAGTTTTTTTTGGCTTTGATAACTTGACCGTTGAAGTCAATGTCCTTGGTCCCCATTAACTTGCTCGGAAAGTTTCCCGTGGCAAAGAAGTTAGGTAGTGTGCCTTCTCATAAACATTTGCCATGTTTCCTTGATAATTTAGGTGATTTAACCTGTAATAACTTGTGGCCCTCCACATGTTGTTGGACTACAGCTTCCATCAGCCCCAGCCCGTGAGGTCAGTGGTCGAGAATGATGGGACTTGTAGCCCAGCAAAATCTGGAGGGTCACAGGCTCCCTACCTTGGCTTCGCATCTTGATAGTAGAAAAATGCAAATCTTCTAATGTTGTTACTAAAAACTATTTTTAATAATAATAATAATGTGATAGCAAAATATTTCAGAATATACTTTGTATAGGGATTTTTACAAATTAGCCTTCTTAGACTCAATTTTTCTCAGGACACATGTGGGAAAGGCTAGAAATTAAAGTATTGAAAATGGTTGAAGATTTATCAAAGGCTAACCCCCCCCCCATCATCTGCCCCTAAACTCATGTGTTGGAAGATAATTTTAAAGTTTCATTGGGGTCTGTGAAGTTGCACCTGGATAAAAGTTGCTATGTTACTTGTGTTCACACTAAGGCCAGAAAATGCTTAGTAATCCCCGTATTTCTATTTTCCCCTTAGGGGCGCAAAAATGTGGTTTATTGAATACTAGGCTTTCAATATACGTAGTAGTGATTTAAATTCTGAGTATGGCTTGGAGATTGCAGGATTTTTCAAGTCCAGCTACAGAACAACTAGTAGCCCAAATGCCGGAACAATAGTTTTATTGTCAGCTGTTTGACACTGTTGCCAAAATCAGCACCAGTGCCTCCTATAAAGAGTGACTGAAATGCCACATTTCTATGTCAAGATTGCCTTTGTTGTGAATATTGCCCTTTCCCAGTATATTGGGAAACCCAAAATTAGGGAGTCAAGCACTGTTCTTTTCATCCCTGGCAAGAGCTTTGTGCTCCGATTGGCCCAACAATCCTTCAGCATGGCTATCATCCTCTAAAACAGGGGTCCTCAAACTACGGCTCGCGGGCCAGATCCGGCCCACCAGGGCCCTGAACCCGCCCCACCTGGCAATCGCTGCAGCTGCAGCAAGATGAACCTTTTCGGCCCGCCAAGCAGCACAAGGGGAAGCCGACAGCCACTGCGGCAGCGGCTCCAGTGAGAGCAAGATCGAGAAACCACCTCGCTGGGTGGGTAGGCGGTGCTTGGGCCCCCCCAGGCCAGGCACGGGTTGACAGGGGTGAGGGAGTGGAGGCGGGGCGAGAGGCGAGCTGGGAGGGACACCAGCCTGTGCTGGGCTTGGGCTGGCTGGCTGGCTGGCTGGGGTTGAGGCAAAGGAAGCAATGCAGCTACAAGCAAGGGCTGCTGTGGCGGCGGTGAAGCAGCAGCAGCAGAAGATACAGACGGGGGTATGGCGTGTTCGGGTTCTCTTCCCTCGCTGCTGGGTGCACAGCTTGGGGCCCAGGCGGGTGCGTGACAGCCGAAGGTGAGAGCCCTTCCTTCCCATGCCGCCGTCCCCACGCTGCCACCCGCCTCCCTTCTCTTCTCTTCCCTGTCCGGCCCCCAACAGTGTCTGAGGGACAGTGAACTGGTCCCCTGTTTAAAGAGTTTGAGGACCCTTGCGCTAAAAAGAAGGTTTGGAGTGAGAACTTGTTTTTATTTCTAAAACTTCTGTTTCTGGGCCAGTAATCTCTCATAGCTCACACATTTTAAAATACATTTCATGTAGCAAAACAATTAGTATGAAAACCAAATAATAAACTATTAATTGTAAAACAGCAGCAGGGAACAAGTTGACCACAAACTTGACATGAGCCAACAGTGTGACTGCTAAAAAAGCCAATGCAATTCTGGGCTGCATCAATAGGAGTATAGCATCTAGATCAAGGGAAGTAATAGTGCCACTGTATTCTGCTCTGGTCAGACCTCACCTGGAGTACTGTGTCCAGTTCTGGGCACCACAGTTCAAGAAGGACACTGACAAACTGGAACGTGTCCAGAGGAGGGCAACCAAAATGGTCAAAGGCCTGGAAACGATGCCTTATGAGGAACGGCTAAGGGAGCTGGGCATGTTTAGCCTGGAGAAGAGGAGGTTAAGGGTGATATGATAGCCATGTTCAAATATATAAAAGGATGTCACATAGAGGAGGGAGAAAGGTTGTTATCTGCTGCTCCAGAGAAGCGGACACGGAGCAATGGATCCAAACTACAAGAAAGAAGATTCCACCTAAACATTAGGAAGAACTTCCTGACAGTAAGAGCTGTTCGACAGTGGAATTTGCTGCCAAGGAGTGTGGTGGAGTCTCCTTCTTTGGAGGTCTTTAAGCAGAGGCTTGACAACCATATGTCAGGAGTGCTCTGATGGTGTTTCCTGCTTGGCAGGGGGTTGGACTTGATGGCCCTTGTGGTCTATTCCAACTCTATGATTCTATGATTCTAACTACAGGCTACATCTAGACACAGTAAGACTAGCCCACCACTAGCTCGTGCTCAATTGTTTCTCAGAAAAAATGAATGCTTTCCAAAGTAGGAAAGTTTCAGCGGTTTTAACTGAAGGAAAGGAGAGAGCTCAGCAGGCAAGAATTCCTGGGCAAATAATTCCTAGTAGCTGCTTATTGAATCTCACATGGCTGGGCTGGGACAAAGCAGAGCCTCTTCTGCTTAACATGAGGACATCTATACCGACATTTGATTATTGTAGTTGTTAGTACAAATGTTTCTGTCTGCTATGTGTTTTCTAAATTGTGCTTTTTGGTACTGTTGGCCTTGTCATCTTTTTTTACTATCATTTCCATTCTATTCCTGATGTTCAGTCCATGAGTGCTGTTGCTCACATAATCAAAACTGTATCCCCATTGCCCAAGAGTGAGCTCTGAGGGTGCTTGGGACACCCCTCCGCTAAGGCTTGCAGAAGTCCAGACATTCCTTAGGCAGAAATTCTAAGACAGCCCAGTGAAGACTGTCACTGTTTAGTGCTAGAGATGGAAGGGAAACCTGCTGGGAGGAGAATGGAAGGGAGTTGTTGAGATTCTGAGTAGAGAGCTTGCTCTCCCAAGGGCAGCATTTTGTTGCCAATCCAAACTGTATTATTTATTAAAATCTTATTTATCCTCTGTTGCTGTTTTATTTTGTTGGAGTATTTTTTTTCCATAGCAAGCACTATATTTCAACAAAATCAAAGTAAAATTGCAGAAATTTCATGTTGTGAAACACTTTTCTTTCCTTGGGCATTTACTCATACAGTGGTGCCCCGCAAGACGAATGCCTCGCAAGACGAAAAACTCGCTAGACGAAAGGGTTTTCTGTTTTTTGAGTCGTTCCGCAAGACGAATTTCCCTATGGGCTTGCTTCGCAAGACGAAACATCTTGCGAGTTCTTGCGAGTTTGTTTCCTTTTTCTTAAAGCCGCTAAGCCGTTAATAGCCGCTAAACCGCTAATAGCCGTGCTTCGCAAGACGAAAAAACCGCAAGACGAAGAGACTCGCGGAATGGATTAATTTCATCTTGCGAGGCACCACTGTACTTGGTTTTCATAACATCTAATAACAGTGGAGATACATAAACACACACACACACACACACACACACAGTATCTATAATGTGACGGGGGTCCCGCAGTCCCTGCTGCTGCTGTGTACATAATAAAGGGGTCCTAGTTATTGAAGAGGTGTTTTGTGTTTTCATTCCCTTTACTATTTTTTATTTTATTTTATTGGTACTATTCTATTCTGTTCTGTTCTGTTCTGTTCTATTAACTAGCTTCTTTGCTAATGATAGTTGCCAGATTTTATTGTACCATGAAGACAGCATGGCATCCTTCAACAGTTTCCAATATCTGGCTATCATTAGTCTTGCTGCTACCAATAATTGTCCAGTAAGGTGTTTATAATGCAGGTCCATAATATCTCTCAAATAAAGGTTGGGTAGTGCCAACTCTGGACATTTAATAACCTGACCCATTATTATTTTGACTCCCACAAAACATGTTCATCATATATGCTGATGCTGAAAAGAAAAAGATGTGCTGCTGAACTGAGTTGCCATCGAGCTGTTTGCTGTGAGACCAAGATATTCTTTCTGCTAAGCTACCACCAAATGCTGCACACTCTTCTACCTGCTACCTGGCCC